GGGAAAAGTAAACGGTCTTTTAGCTAACAATGCCAGAATTTTTGGAAAAGAGATTTTTTTTGTAGGATGCTACCCACATGTACTAAACATTATGCTGAGAAGAATGTGCAGGCTGGGTTTGGGGCCAAGGGTGACATGAGCAACCCCCATGTTTTACAATTACTCTATAAAATATCTTGGCTCCATCATGAGCGTCCAAGCCAATACAAAGTTATGTATGTTTCTCTTGGTATTCTAAGTAAAGAGCCACCACTTCCCCAGACATTCATAGACACAAGGTGGACATATTATCATGAAACTCTCCAGTGATATCTTAAGTAAGGAAAAGCTTGTTTACAGCTCGCTGAGTGTCTCCTTGAAAGATTGCCAAAATCAGATAGCCACCAGACTATTTGGCAAGATGTCATTGAGCTGAGCTCCAGTCCTATGATTCAAGTTGAAATCAAGTTTTTGTTTGAATTCCTTGATAAGTTTATCATCCCATCTCTGAATACATCCCAAGCTAGTGATGCAGAACTTGGATTCTCCAGTGGTTACCTAGCAAGGTTATGGCCAGCAACTGTTCTGAAGCACCATGAAACTTTAAGTAAAATGTTGATGTCTCCTGCAGAATATTTTCCTTTAACATCACAACAGGTGAAGATGTCATTAAAGGACCCAGCAGCTATCAACCATTTTCACAAACAAGTGCAGAGGCCAATGTTACAAGAAGCAATTAAAGTAATCAAAGATCATGGAGCAGAGTGGTTAACTTTTCCCAAGTTGTTTGGAATGGGAGCTGATCAGGGATACCAAAGTCCTTTCTAGCATTCAGTTTTAAAGCTTCTTGAAGTTCCAGTCAGATCTGAAAATCAACAAGAAAAGTCAGTGAACAATCTCTTTCATGTACATGGACAGAACATTCTAACATTGGTGTCTAAGGATAGAGTTGGATTGATTAAATGGGCCACTCTTTGGAAATTTATGGAACCACAATTGCTCAGTGAGATCAAAGAAATTGCTTCATCACCACACAGCTCACTCATAAGTAAAGAAGCCACTCCAAACCTGTTTGAGTTCTATGCCAAGCACATTTTCAGTCTTCCAGTTAACAATGTTCTTGCTGAAAGATAGTTCAACCTTTCTCAACTGTATCTTAATGATAACATGTCAGAGTTATCAAAACAGGCCTCAATCACATTTGTTGAAAATATTCTGCATAGTGGAAAAACCAACACCAGGACCACAGAAGCAGCACGTGAAGTTCACGAAGAAAGAATGAAAGAATATACCCAAATGCTCACCACAGACGCTTTGCAAGAGGCAAGAAAGAACCTAAACAAGATTGGAGAAAACTGCACACATGGGTCACTTACTGCAAAGGATGTTTACCCTAGAGCTTGGGTAGAAAAGAAAGTAAACAATAACTTACCAGAAACAATTCAGTCACTAAAAGCAGATGGTCGCAAACTTAAACTTCAATGGAAGGCTTCTGCCAAGGGAACATCTGCACTGGAGGGACAGAGGTCATTCAACCCAACAGTAATTGAGGGAGTTACCTGTACACCTGATGGACAAGTTCCAAGACTCATGCAGCTAGTGGCACTAAAGGTGTAGAACTATGGGGAGGAGCTACCAATTTATGATCCACCAAGAGAATGTCAGTTGTGTCTACAAAATCTTCCAAATGTCTTCCAGCCTCCAACTACTCATCTTTCCACATCCCACATGTCTGAACATGTTACGCTGTTGCCTGCACATGAAGAATAGAGTAGTCATGAGGGGTGGCTCAGTAATTTTTAAATGTTTTAGATTTGTAAATATAAGAATTTATTTCACCGACCACACTGCATGAAATAAATATATCTCAACATGTATCAGGGCGTGAAATTGCGCCCAATACAGACGCCAATGCGACTACCGTATCTTTTTCACTTTGGCGACCAAATCCTGGAAATTAGTCGCCAAATTGGCGACTTGAATGTTTCATCATAACATTACCAAGAGATATAGTGAATTAAAAAGATTTGCAATGATAAATCCGTCGCAAACTTCCTCGTTAAGTTTGTTTCCAAAACGTAACAGATGCATCTCGATTGATAACTAGAAGCCATCTTGGAATTAAGTGAGATTTAACGTTATATATCGTCCATCCTTTGTAGCATGTTAAAGATCTTTTCCCAAACTTAATTTTGGAGGGTCTATCTAGAATGCTGACAGCTTAAAAGAAGGTTTTGTTTGTCTTTGAAAATGGCGACCAACTTTTTTCCACTTGCCTACCACTTTGAAGAATTTAGGAGCCAAGTGGCTATCAGAAAAAAAATTAATTTCACGCCCTGTGTATGTATTTTTACATACAGAGACGCATCTAATAATTGATTAAAGTTTCAACACAACATATTAGAATTAACCAGGTAAAAGCACGTTGTATATGCCATGTTAGTAAAGTGAACATAGCTTAATATCTTAGTATATGTACATGTAGCATGTTAGTTTTTTGGTTTACAATATTGCAACTGGTTTTACAGGGTAAAAGTAAAGTGCATGGTGCCAAAGTTGAGAAATGCATGTACAATCATGTTGTATTGGATCTTTAATTAAATGAATTGAATATTACATTCAAAATGAACAGTAGGTATACGAAGCTGTAATGTATCTGATTTTAAATTGTTATGTATGACTGTAGCTTTGTAGAATATTGAACAAACACTGAATTGCTGTCACTAAATTTCAGCAGTTTGAAGGCCGATTTACACGACAGAACATTTTTGGCACGGCTCGGATAAAATTGGTACGCGTACCAGAAACATTGGTTCAGCACGGATGAATTTAGTCGTGTAAACAACTTTGCCTCATCCGTGCCGACCGATGTTTCTGGCACCTGAACCAAAATTTTATCCGTGCTCGGACCTACTCGCGAGGTAGTCCGAGCACGGATAAAATTGGTACACGTTCCAAAAACTCTAGCCTGGGTCGGATAAAGTGCGTAGTGTAAACGATAAGCCGTGCCAAACCAACATTTTCCGAGTGAGCCTTTATGCGATTAGTCAGCACCATTTGTTGGGAGCATGTGCAGAAAGTTCACTTCACGTTTCAACATGGCGGAAGCAAACTCCAAAGGAAAGTCGCCCAAAAAATCGCGTGGATACTCATGGAAAGAGGAAGATGTAAAGGAATTAATTCAAATAATGCAAGAAGAGACAGTTATGTTTAGTCTGGATAATGCGAAGACGCCAAAGGAGAAAAGGGCCGCTTACAAAACTGTTCAAGTACAGATGCAAAAGAAAGGTAAGCTGATCGATGTTTATGCCCCATGAAGCTCCCATAAAGTCCAATGGAAGTGAAATCTCCCAAGAGGATGTTGTAATTCTTGATGAAGGAGGTGACAGTGATTACAAGGAGCCAAACAGACTCAGCAATAGAATTGAGCAACAGCTATCAACTGCCATATCCTCAGCATCCACCAGAGCTGAAATAGCTGCCCTAGCCACTTTGATTTCCCCAGTATCCTCTGCTAGTGGCTATATGTGTACTTGAACGTCCATGCCAAGCTGTCCTTGAAAGAGCTGAGACTCTCCTGACTGATGCAAGGCAAAAACATAACAATCCACTTGGTGTTGTCATTTCAGGGCTAGGACAGTTCTCTGAACAAGGTTTGAGAATTCTGAAGAAGTTTTGTGCTATTTCTGAAACAAAACACAAGGTAACTGCAGAATCTAAATGGCTCGCTGAACTAAATTGCACTCAAGATGAGCTAAAACTTATTCAGAGAGTTATATGGAACAAACCAACAGCAAACCCCAGTCTGGCATGTGACTATAAAGCTGTTGATGTCCTTTCCTTCTCTGATCTTGCAGAAGAAAGGTATATTGACAGCTTTGTCATTGATGTCTCCATCAGAGAGTTTAATAGATGTTTTGCTCACTAATAGACCGGATAGCTTCCAGCTAT